GGTGGAGTGTGGGCTTAGTCCTAGTTTTTTTGTAAGGGAAAGTTAGAAATTCCTGCCAATGTCTGTTGTATACTGCTCGATACTCACAACTAAATTAAAACTGTTAGACACTAGAGTTGCAATATGGGTAATCTAATTTAGCTAGGCCTGTTCTTTAAAGACACTAGAGAGAGAAGAAAACACTTGTAAGTTAATTGTATTCTGAATAGGAAAGTCATGGCGGAAGAAATATGTAATTCTACTAGCAAAGCTCCCTCCCTTCCAGTTGTTCATTTCCTCGGAAAATGTGTAGAGGAGTACAGAACAGCAGGAAAGAAAATTATGAGTGTGGTGTGGTGTCACAGCATTTCTCCCTAACTTGACTGCATAGAATGTCAGGGGTTGAAAAGGACCTGGAGAGATCATCTAGTCCAACCCCCCTGCCAGAACAGGATCATCTAAAGTAGGTCACACAGGAACGTGTCCAGGCAAGTTTTGAATGTCTCCAGAGAAGGAGACTCCACAAGCCCTTCACAGGAGACACGGATGTGGTTCTGGAGAGTTAAATACATTGCTATAAATCTTTTCTCCATGGAATCTGTAATAGAAACAAAATGCAAACTTAATCAGAGTTTAACATCCTAAAGACTAGTCTGAAAAGACACAGAGACGTGTCCGTTCTTGCTATCGGTGATCCAATGAATCTTTAATTAGATCAAGTTCTGTAGGCTACAGAGCAAGCACATTTACATTCATGGCTTGAATCACCTAAATAGATTGCCTGCACCACTCCATTCTATCCGTCTGCCTCTTAGTCTGCCAAAGGACCCCTGCAGACCATCTTAGAGAGGGCTCTACACAGCCTAGAGAAAAGCACTACCAAAGGTGTAGATTTGGGATGAAACTTTGTCTCTAGTACTCCCTTTAGCTGCCCTCTGCTTCAGGTTTTACTAGGAAGTCTGTTCTGAAACATCTGATTGTTTCCACAAGTTACAGAGAGAGGGTTTAGTGCTTGACTTACTGCTGTGGATTCTACAACAGCATCAGGAGCTGATGAGCTTTTATGTATTTGGCCTTTAATTTTTTTTTTACCTTGGTTACTTCTTATATGGCAACACTGAGACAATGTTACATACCAAAAAATGAGCTCTAAAGCAAGCAAGTCTTCTAGAAAGGGCAAATATATATTTTATTACATTTTTTTATGATAGTAAACAAAGCAAAAGAAACTTCAGATCTAAGCTTCTACAGTTGATACAAACTGATGTTCTCCTCTTCTGGTGGACTATATCTTTCAAAGGGTGGAAAATTAGAACATGACAATGAAATGAACACCGTCAGTAGCACACTTGTACAAAGGAGCTCATATTTTGTACTATGTTCAGTACTTGTTCTTGTGAACAGAAAAGATACTCATAATTACCTGAGACATTTTTTTCTGTAAAGCAAACACAGCCCTAATAATTCTGCATTAATGTTTAAGCTCTGCAATCTAAGTTAATTCGTTAGCTAACACAGCATGTGTTATAACGCCAAGTTTGCCGAATCTTAGCACAAGCACAGTGACAATAGCACAGAGCTGTTTGGAGCTTCCTGTGAGATCTGGCCACACATAACAAGTGATCAAGAGGTTTAGAAACAGCGAAAGAAGAGATCAATGGCCCCTTCAGCCCCTGCATACTCTGGCTTGCTCCTTATATTAGCATGTCCTTGATACATTGTCAGTGTCTAAGTGTTACCGCTACCTCCTTAGCCAAAGAAATACAGGTTGCCCAGAGAGGTGGTGGAGCCCCATCCCTGGAGACATTCAAGTTCAGGCTTGATGGGGCTCTGAGCAACCTGATCTGGTTAAAGATGTCCCTGCTCACTGCAAGGGGGTTGGACTAGATGACCTTTAAAGGCCCCTTCCAGCCCAATGCATTCTATGAAACACCTCCTACCTGTTTTCCCAGCCTCTGCTCACTCATTCGTAGTGCTCCTCTTGCTGCTTCATCCTTTTGTAGCCCCAGCTCCTGCACTGCCTTCTTGCATCTGCCCCGACCCTTCTTGTCCCTTCAGTACTGTTACTGCTTATTCCCATGACTGAGATGGGAAAAGTAATTCAAGGAGTGGGCTAAGAGGGACACAAGGCAAGAGAAGGTAGCGGCAGGGAGATCTGCTTCAAACAGATCTAGTTGCTGCCTCGCTACATGCTTGAGAGTTTGCAAGAATGAGGTAAGAAAGCTATCACACTTGAACAGTAACCTGGTGAACTGGGAGTCTCTCCCTACAGACTCTAGGAATTCTCATTAGTTGCCATGTCAGGTGAACGCAGCTATTTGCATGTCTCTGTGTGCTTTTCTTTCCTTGGTACTCCTACTGAAACACTGTGCTTGAATACATGAAAGCTGATGTGATGAGTTGTTTTTAAAACAGATCATAAGAACATTCAGTTAGCCACTTTAATTTAGTGGATACTTTAATCTTCTAACTTTTAAACAAGGACGATTTTCTGTGTTTTGGTATCTATTAAAAAACTTAGTTTTTCATAAGAGAAGTCAGTCTTCTGTAGTGACACTTAAGAGAATTCTGCTATACCGTTCTTTGGAAAACTGTATTTACTCCGAAAGAAAAGTAAAAAAACTAGTTCAACATTGTTCACACAGGATTTTCAGAAAAAGATTTTGTTTTCTCTGTAAGCAAAGTGAATTCATGATTGTGTATGGGAGGGAACCACAAGGAAGTATTAATTACTTAGAGTCACTCCCCTGTGTTTTTATATCAGTGGCATTATATTTCCTTCTTTTATGTTTACTTATACCGTTGACTTAGTCTCAAGTTTATTACTGTATTAACAAGGATTTTGTGTGTGAAGTAGAAGATTTTGCTTCCTAGCCCCGCCAATGCTACATTATTATATTCCAATAGGATGACTTTTATCTAAACTAATCCAGCAATCTGTGTTTTTTCAGCAGACTAATTCTGATGACTAATATTTGAGCATGGTTGTTGTGGGCAGTGTGCTTATATGAGTTCAGTAAGTCAATGGGAGCTTGATCCTCTTTCTTCTAAGTCAGCAGGAAAATAATAATAAATGAAATAATACTAGGGAGCAGGACCAAGACAAAAAAGCTCAAATTTCATTTAACTACTAACATTGACTAGATATTTTTTCATTAATTCCATTTACAGTTTAAGAAAGTAATTAAAATGTTCAAGGCCTAAGACTGAGGTTTGAGAGGTATGCATTCTGGTTCCAATATGGTCTTCATTTGAGCATGCCAAGATAATTTTCATCTGCACCTCACTTTACCCTGAATTACCATTGGATGATAGTATTTGACAGGAGAATGTTAAATTTTATTTACTGGGGCCTTGAAATCTGTCGTAGTGAAGTTCAGAGTCTGAAATCAAAGTATTTTCATTCCATTTTAAAATACTGAAGCTAATGCTTCAAGTGATAAAAAGAACTGCTGTGAAGCAACCCTTTGCTTTCTCTCTGTTAAAGTTAAATATGGAGGCACCATGGTACTCCTGTGCCTGTGAGGTCACACAAAATCAAATGACTAGTTGGCAGACTATGCGGTCAAGAACTGTAATTTTTTTCTTCTCTGTTGCTTCCAGAAAGCTCTTGTTGACCTTGCGGTTACTTTTTCAGATGCTGTATTGTTGTTAGGCACTTCAGAGCTGCTGAATGCTACTCCCTTCCTAATGCTGCTCATTTTTAACTGAAGTTTTAGAGACAGTAATGTCAATAACTGGCTCTTTCCTGGAGCAGTTCAGGCTGATAGCAGAGCATTAAGCATCTTATTTACACGCTGACGGAATATCTCTGTGCTTGGCAGAAATGGATGGTCTGATCTTTTCAAACGCTAAGGCTATTTGAGAAATTCAGAAACAATGTAGTAGGCTCTGCTTTAGGCCGAGTGTGAGTCTGAAATTCAGCTAACAATCTTAAAAAATCATAAATATGGGCTAAGTTTTGAGGGTTGAGTTAGTTTCAAACCCATTCTATTCCTTCACTCCTTAAAAAAGATCTTGGTTTTTTTTGAAAGGGCTAAATCTCCTTCTTCCTCCTCTGGCTTAGGGCTCCAGACATTTTCTCCAATTTTGCAAGGTCTTCGTAGGAACGGATTCCCCAGTCTCACAATACCTGCCTTGGATATAACGTGTTCTTTCATGCCTGCCACTGCTTTCCATGGCCTTTCTCCTTGGTTGTGATGCTCTGGAGCCCTGAAGTTCACAGCTGGATGTGTAGTGTATGCCTGATTCCAGAAGAGCAAATTTGGAATGAGTCATAAAGCCTAGCACTTGTGTTGGCTTCTGCCCTTCAGGAAAATGAAACTACGTAGGTAGTTACGAAATACTTGCAAACAGCCTGGGTGGAAGAAGGTAGAGAAAATAATGTCCCCAAAGAAAATGAACTCAGGAAGGGCATGCACATTTCCTGATGGAAATTCTTGCAGTAAGGATGACACCTGTTAGAATTAAAAGAGGTTTGTTCATGGAGGGAGATACATAGGGTTCCTCTAATTGGAAATTAGCGAATTTAAATTTTTCCAGGTTTGGAGGCGTTTTTTATTCATTTGTGTTTGATTTGTGGTTGCTGGGGTTTCTTTAACTCTGAATTAGAAAATTACCCGAAGTGATTTGAACAGCTTTTGACAGAAACATGCAGCTTTAAAAAACAGACAGGTTTCTCTTGTTGAAATTATGCACTGACATGACTTTTCAGCATTCTGTTCTACTGATGTAGTAGCACAAGCTGACTTCAAGCAGACTCATAACCTTCCGTTTCAACACATACCTGAAAATTGTCTTTTATTTGCAAGCAGCTTTTTGGATTTTTTTTAAAACAGAGTAGTTTCCTTGTTTGTAACCACATAGGAGTTAACATTTTACGGCTGATAGACATTCTTTTTTCAAACGAGGTATATTCTCTCCTTATTCAGGAAGCTGGTGGGTTTTCTATGCACATGTGTTGGCCCCATTGTCTGTCTTCTTTTTACCTTCCTGCTTTATTTTTTTTCTTTCTTTTACAGATGTCACCAGTCATCAGTAAGTCAGGGGACCTAAAATTTAGCTCAGAGCGTGACACAGATAAAGACTCACCTGCAACACAGTAAGCAAGAAATACTCAAAGCAATTTACAGTGTTTATTCCACAACTGTTGTTAGAAAACTGTGAGAACTGTTGGAAGGGTTATTTTGTTTTAGCAGTAAAACAAGAAGTTAACTTTAGCATAATCGTTCAAAAGTGCTTCACACCTGAAACATGAAGGAAATAACAGTTTGCATATGTGAACACACACAAACACATGCATAAACACACTGTCTCTGAAAAAGGGCAAGAACTGTAACGTAGGTGAGAATCAGAACTCAGGGGTATGTGATTACCCTGTGGCATCCCTTTGCTGTGTATTAGGCTTTATTGCTGCAAACTGCAAACTATTTTTGCACCTTCTAAAAATTAGTTAATGTAAAATGCAAAAATTTGTCATGTACCAAGAAGATGACTTTTTTTTAAAATACATGTGTTCTTTAAGTGTTCTTAAGCAGATAAGATCTCAACATTTTGAACAAGAGCTTCCACAGTATCTTTATCTATTACATCCATTTATACTTCAAAAAAATACATCTGAAAATACTTCCTGTGTCTGCCACTACAGGTATCTGTCATGTAAGCCAAGTTATTTCACTGATTGTTTTCCATACCCTCCCCATGTAAATAATCTGTGCATATATGGTGTAGATGCAGATAAATGTAAAGGTAACTTACCTTTAAATCTTAAGTTTTTACCTCCAATTGTATCAAGATTTGCAAATAAATTGTGAGTGAAAAGTTTAACCCTGGTGTATGAGGAGGAATAGGCTGTATAACTACACATTGACCAAATTCAGTGTTGAATTTTGGGCATAACTACTCTGATAGCATGTACATTAAGGAAGGAAATGCCTTAAAAGCACAGTTACTGTGGCGGTTGATAGAGTATTTTAGAAGCTAGTAGAAAAAATTTGGTAATGACTCAACTCCATTAGTAGAACTTCAAGAAACGATTATTCTGAGTGACCTTTCCAGGGCATACACTGAAGAATGTGGGACCACAGATTTAAAATGTGGAATCACAAATTATTTAATGAAGCTCGAGAATTTTGAAAATGAAATAGTCATTTTAATGGAAACTAAGGCTGCCCTCTGAAGAGGTCACGCTGAAGTGTTATGCTGAAGAAACACTTCAGTTGTCTTTCAGAAAGGTGAGAGAAGACACCTCCATGCCTGAGTCACTGGAATGTGCTCACTCCTCCTGAACTACAGAGAGCAGGAGCTCCATGGAGATGCTGGTCTGAAGTCATTCTTCATGTTATTGCTGTCCCACTGTGGGCAAAGAGCAGTGCTGCAGAGCAACATTCACAAGGTTTTAGGGTTCTGAGCCATTCATACCTGAGGGAGAGTGAAAGATGCCGTGAGGCAGCATTTGATGCTATACCTTGTCAGGGGAGAACTAATTTGAAAGGGAGGAAGATAGGCATGTTAGTCCTACACAGTGCAGTATTTTCCTTCCATGTGCAGGGCGTTCTAGGCATTATTATGGTTCTGCTGCATTTTTCCCCAGTCCTTGCGTCTTGTCTGACGTGGGGAGGGCAGTTTTCACCGCATATTTAGAGATCAAAATGCAAATCTGAGTAATGTCTTTTGATCTTCTGGCATTTTTGATGCCCGCAGTTTGAAAGACTGTTCCATATTTCTGTTTACAGGCTATCTGTATGGTATAGCTTAGATAATAAAACATCTCAGAGACATGGCTGCATATTTTTCATGAAAACTCACTTGGTACCTGAAACCAGAACCCGCAGTGGCTGTGACAGAACTGTAGTTTTGTTGTGCACTGCAGTTGATGTATCTTGAAATATGCTTTAAAAATGGCACACATGCAGATGTTGCAATCTTAACTGGAGAAAATTTATTTTAAGATCTAGAATCAACATGGCTTGAGATCCATTCCAAACTGTATGCAAACAGTGGTTCTATCTAAAAACATTCTGTTACTTTCCTGTTTTGTGTGGCAATGCACTTAATATCATGCTAGTATGTTCTAAGAATTATGCAGTAAATAAACTTTGTAATAATCAAGTGCTATAGAATTGCCAAGTACGCACTTTCACTATGGAGAAGTGAAACTATTAACACCTGCAAAACTCTCTTTACCTTTCTTTGAGCCTCCAATGAATGATTGCTGGTGTGCCTGTTAGAGCAGTATTCATTATGGGCACAATACCTGCTGTAAAAGAAAGTGAATGGCAAGTCTTTGTGAAATGTCTACCTTTCAGAATTTCTAGATGGAAAATACAGTTTTGCAATAGGAAAGCAAATTTTATCCAGGGTGGTAGCAGATTTTTCTCTTCGCCAAGCAGTTAAGCTATCTTCTGCAGACTCTAGAAGTAGAGAAATGTCCGAAAATAGATGGTAAGTAAACGAAGGATTTTATCTAAGTATCTCAGAGATTTGATACATCATCACATCTGATGTTCAAATAACGGAATGAAAACTACTTCTCAAAATTTGAGTAGCTTTATACTGAAAATCTGTAGTAACCTCACCCTTTGAATATTGGTGATTAGATGCTATTTGTACAGACATTATCTCCTTAGATATATTCCCATTGTACAGTTTTGTTAAGCTACACTAGGTAGTGCTCTCTGCATAAATTTATAAGCAATTACACATGAGACCCAACTGAAGTCTCAGTTTGAGAGACTGGTACTTATATTACTGATTAATTATGATTTTGTACCCCAGTTTCCTCATGCAGCAGTACTTCTCAAGTTGTTCCAGGAGTCCTAACACAGAGGATCTTAAACTCCAAAACCTTCTCCTTAAGTTGTTCCAGTATTAGAGCTGCAGCAATTCATGTATTCATGAATACACAATTTAGCTTGAAAAAAATCAGGCTATAGGCAGATAGGCATCAGTCCATTAGCAAGGCTAATGTGTAAGCATTTTCATCTATAAAATATGATTACATTAGGACAGTATCACCAACAGTAATGCTCTTGCAGTCACCTTTTTTGAGAAACTGCACACATTCCATTCTGTAGTCTTGGTTCATCCACTTGCTTATGTTTCAGCAGCATCCAGCGTTAGAGTTCTGGTCACAAACCATGACCTCTTTGTGCTAGGCACAATACAAATTTTGAACAAAGACAGTACCTGCCTTTGACAGGTTACAGTCAAAGAAGTATTACGTATTTTTAGTTAAATAAAGTTACTACTTCTGCCAAGAGTGGTCAAAGTGGTGTAACATCTGCATAATCCCTGGCATCATCTGCCAGACTGGTCTAATTCCCTTGTTTAAGGTACTAACTGGGAAAGATACAGGAGCTTGATGCTTTTGGGATTGTATGCAGTCTGATAAGCATAAACAGACACTGAAGAGTGATTTCTGATTCTGTAAATCTGTCATAGTTCAGGTAAATTAAAATAGAGAAACTAATCTTATGCACTTTGCCTGCCTGTCTTATTCTTGTTGAATAAACAAGCCAGAAAATCTCTTTAATTGCGGATGTATTTATGCTTGAGCTTAGGGAGAAGAAAAGTGCAATGGCTTTTATGAGAGGAGGAGGCTGGCAGTTTGTATTTTTTAATTACATCTGTTGCCTCTTGATCAAGACTACTTGATTTTTAAGATCACGAGCAGTTTTCTTCAAAGCAATGCTGTGATATGTGAAAAAGTAGACTAGTGGAGTGGTCTCATATTTTGTCTTCATGGGTTTTCTGTCTTTGTTCTGTTGCAGAACAGTAGTTTTTATAGCTTTTTCAGCATTGTACTCAAGGGGGACAGCAGACAATTGCTCCAACACATCAGCTGTGAGTGGAAAAAGCTCTAAATTTGGGCTAACTTTGTGTTTCTTTTGCTCTTTTTATATCCACCTTCCTCTAGAGGAGCAAAGAAAAAGAAGAAAAGGATACAGAGGAATGAGAGAGAAAATCAGCACAACTTAATGGATCTCGATACTTCTGTATCATCAGTTACAGCTAATGGTGTTGAAAATGAACCTACAGCCCATGGGGTGAAATTGAAGAAGAAAAAGGCAGCAAGAGGCCCAAACTTAAGCACAAATGGAAAGACAAATACTGCCTTTGAGCCTGAACACCGTGATATATAGTCATAATTCCAAATACTGGTGTGGTATTCACTATGCACACTGAAGGCTGCAGCTGCAATCTCACTTCTAGAATTAACAAGCAACAAAGAAATTAATGTATTTGAATATGCAAAATGGCACTGATTGTGACTCTCCAGTGGTGTAAATCTGTTTTGGAAGACTTTTGCCCAGGGTTCCTTAAAATTGACAGAATTCAAATGTTCAGCTTCTCACTGGTCTGGCAAAATCTGACACTGACCTTCATATTTCCTGAGAACCCCACTGACAAATGCAACCTTGACCAGTTTAATACCTGATTACACCTTAACTTAGGCATTTCTATAGACTGTAGATCAATCCATTAGGAGCAGAGGATCAAGTGAAAAAGTGTGATCTAGAGCAAAACAAGCCCAACTGCTACCTAAGTTATTAAATCAGCATTTTATGTCTTATAAGTAAAACAGAGAAGTGTTCAGAATGGTAAAATTCCAAAGGAGTTCTTTGGAATTACAGTGTACCTGGAGGCATCAGCTTTGTAAAAATATTTTCCTGAAATCAGATACTCACTCGGACTGCATTTTGCATCTCTGAAGCGAATTGTTGAGTAACTACCTATGCAGCTACACTTTCTTCAGGGGGACTACTCATGTTTACTAATGTAAGTAAGTGTTGCAAATTCCAGGCAGGTATATTTTTCAGGTGAGGGTTTCTGCACATAATAAAGATGCATTGCAGTTTTGTCAGGAGTTTCTGGCTGCATTTGGCAGCAGTCTTGCCAAATATACTTTCTCTTGTCTGAATGAAATCTTTCATATCCAACTTTGATGTTTGTTTTACTTGTAGCCCTTATTCACCTGTGTCATTAATTTATTTTTTTATGTATGGGGAACTTTTACTAATGACTTCACTGATTATCTTCAGTGCTAAATAATTCATGTTTTATATTAAACAAAATGCTTTCCATCAGTTAGTGTTGGTATTTTTTCTGGCTGATTATGTCCAGTTTATTTTTACTCTGCTAGGAAATTCTTCCTCCTCCCCCTCTGAAGCAATAAATAACATAAAATTAGAAAGCCCTTATTTAGTAGACAGGGCTCTTGATTCCATTAAAAAAAGAAGTGAGAATAACAATGTTGGGCACTGATGTGTGAAATGCCCCCAGATGCAGAGGACTAGTTGCTATATATTGTAATACCTTCCCTGCACATGTTTTAAAGGCAGAAAAATGTGTAAACTTGTTTCTTTTGGGTAAAGCAAGGCAGCAAATACTCTTTTTTTGGCTCCACTGGTAATTGTTCTTGGCCAACAGTCCTCGTTTTGCTTTGCCTAGAGCATGTGTAAGGAGTCCTCCCCTAAATGGGCTTGCGTATGTGTACTGGAAACTTGTTACTATCTCTCCCCAGTCAGAGGTGGTGTCAAAATTATCTTGGTCCTGGGACTGCCTGGTTCTACCGAGGCTCCTAGCTTCTTACCTCTTTGGTTTTGCAGTGTATTCCAACTCGTCATTCTGTGTGACGCATGGGATTTAAAGATTTTTAAAAAGCGAAAAAACTCACTATCTTACGTCTCTTAAAATGTCCTGGGTCACATTTAAACAAAGGGCAGAGCACGACATCAGACTCCACGTCAGGGAGAGCTGAGCAGCAGCCAAGATCTGGGAGCTCATTGGAAAGCATTGTAAAATGTTAATTTGGCATTGTGGACACTGGAGACAGAAATAACACTTCAGATAAACACCACCGAGAGATGGTAGTTCTAATCAAAGGCACAGCACCTCCTTTCATGCTTTCGAACTAGGGCTCCAATTATGTTCACTGCTCTGCAGCTGAATAGAGCTGCTTTGCCACACTTTCCAAATTGAGAGGAGAGGCAGCAGCAGTGTCTTCCAAGGCACGATTCCAAATAACAATTAAGCAGAAAGAATCAGATAAGAGCCAAACATGAAAATACAGGGAGTTGAAAATAAACTTTTCATGATGTTTTCTTGTAATTGTGATAGCTTTTGTTATGTTCTTATAATTTCCCCCACCACCACTACGGGATTGGTCAGAGACTTCTGTTCCTTTATGCCATGTCATTGTGGTACTAGAGTTTTCTTCATTCATTTAACAGAAAATGAAAACAAGATCTGAAATTTTTAAAAAAAAAAAGGTGTAAGTGATCCTTTAGTATTAAAATTAGAACCCTCAGTCAAAAATCTCATAACAAAGTTTTAAAGTGGTAGAGTAGCAAAGACAGTTTTTGGTTTTATTAGTAGATTCTTTATTCTTCAGCCATTGCTGTTGGATTTTAAACTTAAAAGAAAGGATAAAACTTAAACAGTTTGCATTAGAGCAATGGTTTTTAAAATGAGTTTTTAATTTAAACTTTATATAATGCTTCTTGTTTCTGTCTTAATGCCATCTACATATTTCTTAAAATCACTTTAAAATGAATATTGTGTACATTTGCTGAAAATCATCCAAATATTTAACAGATGTAAATTCCAGTAAAAGAATTCCAGAAGGATTCAGATTGCCTGCTGAAAATTTCCCTCTTTTTTTTTTTTTCAGCTGAACTACATTAAGTATCCTAAAATGTGAGTGCCTGGCTAAATTGCTCCCTGAGCCATGACAAGAGTTATAAAAGTCTGTCTGAGGAGTTTTTAGAGGGTAATGCAAGTTCATTGGGGGAACAAAGCAGATAAAAGCTTCTTTAAAAAAGCATAAATATTAGATATTTATAACTGCTTGGTGATAACAGCATAGTAAGTCTTTCATTGTTCTGGTGTTTTTAGGTTTTGTGTGTGTGGTTACAACATACAGTTCCTATTACATTTTTATTATATGGCAAGGGCATCGAGAACAATGCCTAAATTAACAAAACAGAAAAGGAGGGGTGGCACATTTTTTCCTGTGTTTCCCAATAGCCATCAGATTGCATTTAGTTTATTCCTTAAAATAATTTGAGGAACAGACATCATAAAGCACAATAAGTGTATTTGTAGCATCACTTAATTCAGAAGGCAGTAGGGGACGGATCACAGTCAAACAAGGGCTAATGAGAACACAGAGGAACATGACAACCGAAAGTCTCTGTTGACTAGTGAACTAAATCTGCCGGCTGGACCCAATTGTCTGGTGGAGAATTGAATGTCAGGATCATTTAGGGTTAACAATGGCCCATTACAAGCAAAAGCAGACAGCTATGAAAAATAGCCGGCATGGTAGCCATTCTGCAGGGACTGTGGATACACACTTGATAATGAGGCACTTCATTCACTACATCCTTCTGCTCTAATTACTGAGGTGAATAGGAAATACTTCATTTAAGGCGGGAACAGACTAAAGCAAAAACACTTGTTTGGTAAACACAAAGAGTGGTGGGGTTTTTTAATGATCCTTTTCTAGCACGTATGAAATTAGTATGTATGCAGTGCAACCTATTTTATGGATGTGGATATTGGGAGGGGATGGAAGTATTTTCTGAGTAGTGGAGGGAGGCCGTGGAGAGTCACGTATGGGTTTGTACTGTGGGGTTTTTCCCCTTAGCATTCTGCCCAGTGGCTATCCAGAATGTTTTGTGCAAATGAATTTATGGATGTACACCTGCACTTGTAAAAACATACCGTGTTAGTTCAAGGAGTTTTATTGCTTGGAGTATAAAATATGTGCATTAGGAACAAAACTGCTGCACGTAAGGAAGAGAAACAAGAGGAGGTCTGAGAGAAGGAAATAAGCAACTTCAGAAGAAAACTGCTGTCTGGGGGAGACTTGCAAGAATGTGGCAATTGGAAATTGTAACTCAAGAAGAAGGAACAGAAGGCAGTGAGATGGTGCATTAGAGCAGAGCTTTGGTGGCTTCACTCGTGTTTTTTAGACTTTAGAAATTAAGATATTTAACCACTTCTTAGTTTTGTGGCATTTACAGGAGCTTTTTGTATGAACTCTTGGAACCCATGAGGAATATTCCCCTATGTCTCTCCAGTAACTTTTAGCTCGGTGCTGTCCTAATTCTGAACTAAAGCCCAGGCAGTGCGGTTGGGATAGGTGAAGCTTTGGTTCTCTTAATTTCTGGCACAGGTCTTCAGAAGGCATATTTATAGTTGTTACCTATCACAATACACACCTCTGCCTTGATTCAGTCCGCTCCGGCCTCTTCATCGAGCACAAAACAGCTAAAGCAGAGATGAGAATTTCACATCAAGCATCAAGCTGCTGTTTTGAACATGGAATATTGTATGATCCTTTTTTTATGCATAGATGTGTTCTGCTCACTGTGGTTTTGTCGAGAGTTTTGTCCTTTGTTCAGTCTGTTGTATGCCAGTTGCTCGCTGCCTTCCCCTTCCGAAGGGTCTGTTCTCCAGCAGTGACATGTGGACGTGGAGTCCCAGTCCCACAAGCTGCTGGGAGTAACTGGACCCCAGTACACAAAGCTCCAGCAAAGATGGCAAGGATCAGGCTCTCAGCAACAACATCGTGGCTGTAATTTATACATTAGTGCACAGGAACTTTAAAGATGGGAAAAATATTTTATAGCTTGCACTCTTCAATGAAAATGATAGCTCTGCGTTTCATCTGAGACTCCAGCAACCCAATTGTTCATCAGGACTGTGTCAGGGGGAATGAATTTGCACTGTGTGTGAGCGTGGCAAGCAAGTTTACAAGTACTGTCTAATGTTCGAATGCAAATACTCAGCAGAAGCTGCAGATGCCACTTTTAGCGGAAAAATGTTTCCACACCAGTAAAGCGATATCAGTAAAATCTATGCTGTGAGCAGACATCAAATTTTTGTTGCACTTATATCGCCTGCACAGGCAGGGAGTATAATAAACTAGTGTGTAGCAGCTGTAAATTTTCTGAGGATTTATCTAACCACAAATACATCGAAATGGGGAAATAGGGCTATATTAAACTGTGCAAGATGCTGCTGGAACTCAGCCATTTCTGCAACATCCTGTAATTAATTTATTATGACAGGTCTGGCAAACTGAAACACCCAATACCCTTGCGACAGACTGTTATGATATAGCTGTTTGAAA